CTTCATTCTAATTGTCCTAATAATGTTCTGTTAAGCTTGTTATTTCTCAGACCTCAAGGAATGGTGTTGCATAAATATAAAAATAACAACAGATTCACCCACTTCTGAGGTTCATCTATGGAAATTTGAACTTTTTATAGCCTACAAAATGTCAGCTAATGCAGCTGAGGGATAAGAAGTCAGTCTGAGTCTCTGTGAAGACATCGTGATTGAAATGGGAAATAAAAATGCTTTTTTGACTCAGAAAATCACAAACATCTTCTTCTCCTCCTGTCCTTTGCATCCTTGCAGTAATTCAAGCATTGATATCCTTTTATCCCAGTATGACTTTTCCATGTTCTTTCAGTCAGTGTGCACACTGAGAATGAAGAGGTAAGCAAAGAAATTGGGAGACTGTGTTGAGCAAAGTCTTTATAACAGCACGGTACATACAAGAGACCTCGGAAATACTCCTGCAGTTCCTTAAACAAGTCATCTGCTCTGTTAACCTTTGTCTTCTCCGACACTGAGTATTTCTCTTCTTCCCCACTCCATCTTCCATAAAAGTTTGGTTGGTGTTAATTAATCTTATTTAGAGATTTTGATAATCTGATTAAAATCAGAGGTGAACATTCATCTTGCAAATGTGAGGTACCTCAAATACTCTGCGATTCAGGTTATACGAAAAGCAGTTGTAAGATTACATTCCATTACAACAAACAGTAAATATAAGTCTGTCTTTCTCTAAGATACAGTTTTCAAGCCTTGTTTTCTGCTATCAACACATTGTCTATTTTTAGGAAAGAAAAGTGTGACCCCTTCCTGTTCCATTCTCCCTCTCAGTGCTGTAACATGCAAATAAAATGACTGATCTTTTGGATTTTAAAAAGCTTTTGACCCAGCCCTCAGGAGAGGTATATCATTGCATCCTCTTCCAAGCCAGTAGAACTGTTCTGCTTTATGTCAGCTAAAATTGTGATCCAGTAGATTAGTTGCTTTCTTTGGGGTTAAAGCTTCATGGGGGCTGGACTTTCTCTCCATTTAGCTAACAGAAGAGTTGCAAAACCTCATTCTGAGGCTTTGCAGTTACCTGCACTGAAGCACCAGCTATAAGTAGGGATCAACTTTGTCCCTTTCAGTTCATTCTTAAAAGATATAATTTACTCTGCAGTACGTGCTTCACATTTGGTAGGCCAGTAGAAATTTTCAGTGTGTCTCCACACTGTAATTAAAAGTCCATTTTATCTCTTTCTCCAAAGACTGCTTCCTAGGGACAGGCAGACAATAAGCTTCATCTGAGGTTCAGTGAAAATATTTGAGTAGATTATGCCAACAAACTAGTATTTCAAGATAGTTTGAACATAAAAGCCATTCCAGGGAAAACTGATCCCACAATAGGACAGAGAGCTATTTTTAAAATTGCTTCAGGCTTTGCAGCTGGGGTTTTATTTGGTTTTGGTCAGGGGTTTTTGTTATTATTCCTTGACATTTTAAAGATAAGTCCTGTGCATGGGCATTCTACAGAACAATCCTGCAAAAGTCAACACTTCCAGGCACATTTTTACAGCATAGATACTAAGCATAGGTTTTATTCATGTCTATCATTATTTCACAACAGACCCACTAAGACTCTTTGTCTAAGGTTTTGTTGATAAAATGCCAACACAGAGAACCTCAAATTGCAGAAGTAATGCACTTATTGCCAAGATACAAAACAGTGGAGACGTGAAGGACTTCAAGTAGTGCTTGTGTACTGCAAAGCTCTATTTTTTCTAACTGCCCCTATGTATCTTGCCTTCCCTAGATTCTGAAATTGCGTAAATATAAAAATATTTACAAAGTTTCCAGAATTATTCTTGATTGAATTTAGCATCTAAACCATCCAGTCTTTAATTTTTCTTGGCTCATTTCTTTTTTTCCATCTTGTGATCTCCAAGGTGGGTCAGTGTTATTAACTTCACCATTTTAGACTCTGCAGCTGAACTCAGAAGACAAAATTATGTTCTCCCTATTCCTAAAATCAGTGACAACACTCACTTTGATTTCACTCGGAGCTTTCAGGACTTACCCTGAGAAGGCTACACTTTTGAACAGAGATTTGATGAATCAGACACAGACTCGAGGTTTGTATCCATTCACTTGAATCAGAAATCAAAATTAAGATCGAAAAACTACCTTGTGTATCATTTTTCCATCTAGGTACTTCTGTGTCCCACTGCTGCCATATTTTGTAAGTGCTTCCCAAGGTTTTAAAAATAGAAAGAACAAAATGCTCCACCGCTTTCTTACCCCCTGCTTTATTTTCCAAACCCTGTGAAAAATAGCTCGGTTTAAAGAGGTTTGCTCTGCGTTCCTTATTTGCTTCTTTGCATATGTGAAGGACTTGCAGAGGGAAAGATACTTTGCAGAAATAGGTCCTGCAGAAATGCTATTATTCTTCATAGTGTTCAGGAGCACATTCAGTAACCCTAGATCCCTTTCCTGGGAGAGTGCTCTCTGTTACTTTAACCTCTCCCACTGGTGACACGATTCTTGTGGGCAGATATTTTTGCCATACAGTCATGACAGAAGCTGAGCAGTGGTGCCTCCCTGGTTGATGTATGCTGTAAATTGTGTTTTCTTCAGCTTGCACAGCTTCTACTTTGCTGCCTTCGGATTGGTTTTAAATCCTCAAGGAAGAGTAATTGAGCTCTGAGAGACTTAAAGGAGGGATCTTCTGCTAAACCAACAGCCTGCTAACAACCCTGTAGCACTGTTGAATGAGAAAGTGCTTGAGCTGTTTCTGAGTGTGTCTGCTTGTCTTAAAAGCTTCTGAGAAGCAGGGGGGAAAAAAAAAATCATGATTTTCAACAGGGGCAAAAGGGGGCAGTTTGAAATGCTCTGTTTGAAGACAAATTTTCGTCAGTGTTCGTACCCTGCGATCATTTGATGCCCATCAGTCTGTTGGGATGCAGTGACGTGCAGTTCTTTCTATTTGTCTTTCCATTTGTCTTTTCTTCCTTCCTTCTATTTCTTGCTTCCAAACGGAAGTCAAACATTAGAGGAAGTAAGGATGGTGGGTGCAGGACTGAGTCAGTGCTGTCCTTATGGATTGCCTTTGACAGCAATTTCCAATGTACGCATTCTGACTGGCTGGATATAAAGTGTTGAAAACGTTTCCATGGCTTCTTGTTGTTAATGATCTTAAGGTCAGATAAGATGTGTTCCTACCAGCATGGCCTTAATTTTGTGATCCGGTTACTTCAGTCAACCCCACTAATTTCTTCTTGGTGTTGATTTTCATATTAGGTAGATCCACTGTTTCATTTTCTAAAGCAACAGAAAGCAAGGGAAATCTATCTGAAAAGGTGATGGCACTAATTGCTATTATAAAGACATAACTTAGTGCTGCATCTGTGTTAATGATCTTGCCTACTGTGCAACTTTGTTGCAAGTTGCAAATGTGTGAAATTATAGTTTATTCACCCCAACAGAACCATATTTAGGAATGTGTTTCCCTGCACTATTTGAAAACAGGCCAGACAAAGTGTTTATAGCAAAGTAGCAGAAAGGCACTCCTGAGCCTGTGTTTTAAACTACAGGGCAACGTGGTCTTGAAGGTGCTCTCCTCTGGCAAGTCTTCCAAACGCAGCTGGGAAGACCTGCCTCTCTTTCCTTCCTCCCCACAACGCACGCGTGTTTTGTTCATGTCCAGGAAGTGTTTTCAGTAGTAAAAAATATTTTTGTTTGAAAAAGAAAAATCACCCAGGAGTTTGTTTTCCATTTACAAGCTTATACTTAAACTGGAAAGGACAAAACTATTTTCACTAATAAAAGATACCTCTAGTTCTTAATTCAAAGCTTTTTTTTTTCCTTTTTCTTTTTTTTAGTATCAGTTCAGGAGAGCAGTGGCAATGGTTATACAACTGCTGCCCCGGGGGAATTCAGTTTTGTTAAGTGGAGGAGAGCTGTCTGGGGCTGAAAAAATGATATATATCTGTGGGAGGGAGGGAGCAGCAGGGGCGGGGGGAGCACTTTAAATGAATTCTTTAATGGGAGCCCATTCCAGAAGGCATCCATGGTATTCCTCTGCAAAAGGAAGAATAAGTACTCAGCACCATATATGGTGACACTTTTATGTTTTTTAATATAAACATGTACAGGCTGGAGCAATCCATGTAGATGAGTTCTGCTGATTGGTTGGGCCAGGAGGGAGGGAAGGAAATGAGACCCTGCTTTTAATATCTTAACATTGGAAAACTCAAGAGCTTGGGTTTAAATAAATAAACAGTAGGCAGAGTTGGAAAGATTTTCAACTTTGCAAAATAGCCCCTTCCTCTGCCTTGATTTTCCAACTTTTGTATTTGTTTTCCTTTAGCTTGTTTGCTTGTGGCTGTTTCATTCTGTAAATTGCTTTAATTTTTGTTCAGGGAGTATGTTGTTCCCAGTGTAGACAGCAACAGATCAGTAAAAGCTATCTGAGATAGCTTGGCTCCAAATATAAAGGGGACTAAATCCACTCAGTCAATCACCACAACACCGGGCATAGGAAAGGCAGATGCCACACTGGGTTTGAGCTGCTTTAGGGCAACACACAATCAGGCAAGTTACAGTTTTGGTGGGAAAAGCCTCTGCTGTTCTGATTTCACTTAAATATTTCAGGAATCAAGTTGGAGAATGCAGCTGCCAGGTGTCTCTGATGCTGCGGGAGAGTTCAGCTTCCAGAGCAGAAATGCTCAGAGAGTAAGTATTTTTCCCAGGGACTTGCATGGGTGGGTTCTATTTTTTGCTCCGTTAATTCCCTGCCCTTACAGACCCAGGCTGGCTGCTGTTCAACCTAATCCCCAAATGTGACCCAACAAATTGTTTTCATCATACAGACTAAGCACATTGTACCAAGCCAGAGTAGAGAAGATCTTTTTTGTTTGTGCCCTTATATGGCTCCTGAAGTCATCATTGATGCAATAAACTAATGGAGTGTGCTCCTCTAATCAACCTCCCCTTCCATAAACACATTTTGTTCCTGCTCTGAGACTGTTCCCTGACATTTTTAAACCAGCCCCTTTCCTGGCTCTCTCTTTCTTTTCTTTTTCGGATCATAGTGGGAGGGAATCAGCCAGCTCTGGAGAGCGAAGAGATGGTGGAGATCATGGTAAACTAGCATTTGGTAGAACAAGTGGCTTCAGAAAGAACAGCACTGAAACCAGAGCAGCTGAGGAAGAGCAGGAAGACGTCCGAGGCGTGCTGAAGAGGCGAGTGGAAACTCGGGAACACACAGAGGAGAGCCTGAGGCAGCAGGAAGCTGAGCAACTTGATTTCCGTGACATTTTAGGCAAGAAAGTCAGTACCAAAAGTTTTTCTGAGGAGGAACTGAAAGAAATCCCAGCCGAGCAAATGGACTTCCGAGCAAACCTGCAGCGGCAGGTCAAACCCAAGACCTTGTCAGAGGAGGAAAGGAAAGTTCATGCTCCTCAGCAGGTAGACTTCCGCTCTGTGCTGGCCAAGAAAGGCACCCCAAAAACCCCATTGCCAGAGAAGGTGCCACCTCCTAAGCCAGCCATTACAGATTTCAGATCTGTGCTGGGCTCAAAGAAAAAGCCACCTGCGGAGAATGGCAGTGCTAGCACCCCAGCACCAAATGCCCGTACCAATTCTGAAGCCCAGAATGCGACCCCCAATTCTCAAGCCCCTGTTGCCAAACCAGCAGTGAAAAAAGAAGAGAAGAATGACAGAAACTGTGAACATGGGTGCGCAGTGGTGGATGGCGGGATAATTGGGAAAAAAGCTGAAAACAAAGCACCAGCAAGCAAACCCCCAGCAAGCAAAGGAACAGCACCCTCCTTTACCGAGAAGCTTCAGGATGCTCAAGTAGTAGATGGTGAAAAATTGGTCTTACAATGTCGGATTTCCTCTGATCCCCCTGCAGCTGTCACCTGGACTCTAGACAGCAAAACCATCAAGTCGTCAAAGTCCACTGTCATCTCCCAAGAAGGTAAATGAATTGAATTACAGGCCACCTGGATGGCACACTCTTATATCTGGCTCTTGATTAATAATATTTAGTTCATTAAAGGTAATGCAATACTTTATTTAAGTCCTGTGCCAGTAACTGTTTCCAGATGCAACTTTCTTGTTATTTCAGCGGAGTACACAAGGAACAGTACCGTTTGACATTTCTTGCAGATTCTCCTTTAACAGCTTGCAGATGTAATTTTTATAAAGTTGAACTTCTTGCATTTTTAAATGCTGTTTACATTGCTAACACTGTTTAAGGAGCTGGTACGTGATGTTTATTTAATCTGAACTTTTAGGATTTAGAACATTGAAAACAGAATAATATTATTGCTGGTTTACAAATTCTAATTTAATTCTTCTGTATATTTAATATTTCAGGCTTTTTATTGCCATAAGGAACACAGAAGCAAGGAGGGGTTTTGTTATAAAAAAGAAATTACTACAATTTCAAGTTACATAGTTAAGATCAGAGTTGAGAATTGATGTCCTGTGTATTTAATATTCTACTACATATGCTTGTGTTGCCTTTACAGACACAGAAATATTTGAACACCACTGGCCTGACAACTTTTAACTAATTTCAGAACAGTATAGAGTTTGGTAAATCCTCAGAGAGACCACTTACTGTTGTCAAATTGAGTGATTTCCTTATAATCCACAATCTGGCTAATCAACCCCCACTAGGCTGTTTTTGCATGAAAGTTAATATTTTTTGTAGACAAAATGTATTTTCATTGGGACAAAAATAGGAAGGATGTCTGATAATACTAAAAATACTTTCTATATTTCGCATTTATTTCATAAAACTCTGAGAGAGTTATATGGAAAATTACACAGTCCTGCACATTATAGTAAAAGGGTTCATGTTCACAGGAAGGACTGTAGCTTGACACAGGGGTCTGCACTCTTACTTGTGAATCTTTCTTCATTTAATCCAGACTGTTTTCAGTGTTATTAAATGAGAACCAAATGAATACACACAATGGTTCATCACAGCCAGTGGTGCAGTGTTCCAAGCACTGAAACATGAGGACACTTGTAAAGTGGATGCAGCCAGAAGCAACATTGCCTTCAGGTAGAGTAGGGGGAAAACAGAAAGGACCCAAGTACTACGTTAAGGGGATGCCAAACTAAGTGGATGGAGAGAGAGAAATGGTAGCAGGTGCGTTGTGTCTGCAATGCGTCTGAAGTAGCATAAAATTGTTATTTATGAGTACACAATGATTTTCACCAGAGGGGACTGTATAGAATAGGGGTAACTGTCATGTACATGAGAAAAAGCTGACTGGTGGAAATGCCATCCTTGTAAAAACAGCTGACAGGATTAGGAAGTTGGGATACTGCAGTTTAATTAGCCTTACACTGGAAGCAAGGTTTCAAAGGTTTCCTTGAAGTTGCTCAGAGTGAAAGGAAAATACGCATCTCAGACTTTCATGTCTCTTATCAAAGTATATCAAATAGACAGCATCTCTGTATCAAAGCTTCTGAGCTGTGGTGGAGCCTCTTAAAGTCCTGAAGCTTTAGTCCTGTGCTGCTGCAGAAAGCTGTTTTCTTTGACTGAAATGATCTGAGAAACTGACTGTTACAGTCCCCCGACTCGTACTCACTTTATAAAATGTTACCACAGAGCCAAAAATCCAGTGTAGTTGTGTCACAGTGACATGATTCTCATGCACAGAAATTCTCTATCACCTGCCTGAGCAAGGCATGTGGCTTAGCCCATCCAGTTTGTCTGAGCTAGGTGACACTCTTGATCATAACACCCCAGAGCTGGCATTTTGTCAGGACCACCTGAGCAGTGATTTCCATTGAGATAAAGAATGAAGGTCACCACTGTTTCAGAAAGCTTCTTGCAGAAACTGTTCTTATGTTTGAGTTATACCTGCATGATTACACTAATATCATGCTTAGGCAGTCAGTTTTTTCCGTACTTTCTTTTGTGTGTGTTTACAGAGGATCATAGAAAGAAGTATTACACAGGGAAGTAAATGCTACCATTTTCTCCTTTAATGGAAAGAAATGGAATGAGGATTAGAACTTTTTTTTTTTTTTTTTTAAAAAAAGCCCACTTATTATGTACCCTCTGGTACACTAAGGAGATGCATTGCATGATGGTCAATTTAGGGGTTTTCCTGAAGTACCTGCTAGCTTTGGCACTTGGAGAATAATGTGTTGCTGCTCTCCCACTGTGAGATGTTTTATGCCAACTGTTAAGTCATTAAGTAAGTATGCATGATACTTTCTTTAAGTAAGTTCAATTTTTCTTAGGCACTGTTTTTTCTTTTTTCCCCTAATTAGGACACGTAAGTAGTTGAAGGAACCAAGGGAGGGGAAGGAATAATTAGAGCTGCAGACTAGAATTGAGAAATAACAAATTCAGGATGAGTATCAGGAAATACTGTTCAACAGGGAAACTGTATGCATTAGTCTCACAGAAAGAGATGTTCAGAGAATTTTTAAACAGAGAAAGCAACAGTAAAAGTGGATGAAACACTCAGCAGCCCAATGCCAAAATCCCAGATTCCATCTTTTGCTCCTAACACTGAAAAAGTAAATTTTCCTACAGGTGCCAGGTCCTTCAGCAACAGTGCCTTTGGCCAACCTTTAATGGGCTCTGGAGATAATCCCTTAGAGTCATCCTCAGATGAAAGAATGTTGAGTCTGTGGGCCAGGACAGGAATTCAGAGCAAATGGACCCAGCTCACATTAACGGGCTTAGACCTTGCAAAGCCATTTTTTATTTCTTTGGTATGACCTTGCTCCTCTCGTGTTCAGCAACAAAATCCACTGTGGAAGTTGATAGACTGGGTCTGTTCTTATCTATTTCACCAACTGGTTTTGTGCTGCTGTGATGTTTAGTGGTGACCACTGGTTCTCATGTATGGAAAATTTTCCAGAGGTATCTCACAGAATAACTTACTTATTCTTAGTGAATGGGATATGGCAAATACTCTATCTAGACTGAGACATGTCTATCTGCTTCTTACCACACCACAAGCCCATCTTAGTACGTGCCCATGGCCCACAAACAGTTCAGTGTAACACATGAACCTGCAGAATGCCATGTGTTTGTCTACTGAAAATTAAATTAACCCTTTCTGTCATTGCCAGAAAGCAAAAAAATGCAGCAGTTCCCGGATTTCTGGTGCCAAATAGATTGTGAAGATAAATGCATAAAATATGGTTTCAGAAATATATCCACCTGAAAAAACAACTGGCATATTTGACCAGGAAGGGCAGACTTTAAAGTATCCATGTGTCTGTAAGCTCATAGGATAGGCAAACTAGCAAGGCCCTTTATGTAGTCACTCACTGGAAGTAACTTTCCTTGACATATTTGCCCTAGCCACCAGTAAGGCCCTTTACCTGTTAGAAACAAGTGTATTCACACATCTGCCCTGTGTTTGAAGACAGTAACCCAACATTGCCTGTCCAAGGCAGTTTAGCCATGAGTGTGCAAGAGAAAGGGGGGTGTTAGCCTCACTTCTGTACCGTTGGAGAAGGCCAAATTCAAACACCAGAACTGGATAGTCATTGATTTGTAAAGTCATTGGCAAAGGAAAAATTAAATCCTGCTCCAAAAAAGACCTTCATCTTCAAGCATATTTATGCACTGGTTTTGTTGTACTCTAGTGTTTCATCTAGGGCTTGCGGTGTATTCTCTTATTGCTGGGTTAAGTTTACATTAGCAATTCAAAGTAAGAATCTGGGCAGTATTATACTGAATGTCACAATCACAACACATATAAGATCAATCTCATTCCTTCCATTTTACATTTCTATTAATACTGCTTTGTTTGCCTTTGAAATCATGAACATCAGTACTTATTTCTCCATTTCTTTAATAATTCCCCAAATGATATTCTGCTAGTTGATTGGCAAGAGCGATTTGTTGCTTAAAGTATCATTTTTTGTAACAAAGTGTGCTTTTACACCATTTTTCTTTTACAAACATGTCTGACCTGGTAGGAGTTTACTAATGGTTTGATATTTTTCTTCTCTTAAACACTTGTCAGAATGCAGTTACCTACATTCCTGGCATACATATTAATGTGTTTTTTACCTGTGAAACCTCAAAAATAATGGTAATTCTAACAAACAAACAAACGAGGGTACTCATAAATTAGAGCATTATGCGTTTACATGGGCAGATTAGATGTTGCATGGTTAACAGGCAGTTGATTTTAATATGAGAGAGTTCTTTGCTTTATGTTATGGGGGGCTTTTTGTTTGGGGAAAAAAGTTTTAAAGCAAGCTTTAGTAGACATTACAGTGGAGTTAGACATATAAGGACTGAGTTGAACAAGCTTCCTCACACGGTGAACTCTTTAGAGCAGGAACCATTTTGTTTTACATTTGTATAGTACTTGGCACGACACTGCCCTGTGCTGGTGTCCTGCTACGTGACTCACTCTTGGATAGAAAATCCAGACAGAAAATTTTTCCATGGTTACGAAAGTTATTCTAGAAGATGACAGTGAAAGGGTTTTGTAAGCTGGCATCCTTACCAGACTGAAGAACTGCATTGCACAGTGAATATAACTCAAAACTAGCAAATGTGCCATCTTTTAAATCAGTTTTCTTTGCTTTTTTTTTGGCTAGTTTTAGTACCATGTGACTATATAGATCAAAGAACTACTTAATATAGGCTCAGGTGATGTAGTTTAGAAAATGCACTGAGTTTGTATTGCTTTGTGTAAGACAGGGTTTTTTTCTTCCTAAGTGTCTTGGCAGCATAAAGTATTGGTAATCTTGTTAGCAATAATGCCTAACAACTTTCTTGTGACTTAACATAACTCCTAAATCTTCCTATCAGTTGTGCAAGTCTGTGTCTGTCAGTCTAAATCAGATCTGCCATGACTTTTTTGATTTCTTTTTAATTAACTTTGAGCAAGAGTTTGGTGTGTAATTAGCACAACTCTGTGTGCTGCTGAACGTAGATGGATTCTGAAGTTTAAAAAAATAACTTCTTCAGAAAGTTTAAGGCTAGAGAGATCCTCTGAGCATCAGTTCTGACACAACTCCATGTTTGTCATATGTCACAACATTTCCCACTGTACTGCTATTTTTGTCTGAACCTTTCTTATTCCAGAAATGCTTGTAGTGTAGATTTAAATACAGGAAAAGAGAGATATTTGATACAATCACTGGTAATTTATTGCAATGTCTAATTGTTCTTGTAAGTGTTTTGGTTTTAAATCAAGAAACAAAGCAATGTCTTACTTCTGGTTAGAATTTATCTGTTTTCTTCTTCCATACACTCGTTTCCTTCCTCTGCTAAGCTGAAGAGTCCATTTGCACTTGATTCAATGGCTTTGACTCTGCAATCGGGATACCTTCCTATCTACTTTTTTTCCAAAACTTGTCAAGTCAAGCTCTTACTAGCTTTCCATAATGCACTTTTTCCAGCCCTTAGAGGCTTGAGGTTGTTTGGATTTGTGGCGTTTTTTTAATACCTCCCCTTCAAGTTGCTGTTTGTTGGTCTATTATCTTATTTAGAATATCATCATCAGAATCATATATTGGTGTCAGTGCCAGTGAGATGGAGGTCACCTTCCTATTGCTGTGCTTTACTGGACCTCAGTGGTCCTCTTTCTACCTCACAATAGTGGAGCTCACATTTGTTACTTCCATATTAAACCTTTACACCTTCTGAAAATAGAGCATCCCTTGCTGTCCATGGATCATTTCACCATCTCAAGCCCAATTTTCCTTGAGTGAGTAGGACTCGGCTCAGCAAGCAAATGAGATTGTTTGAGAGCTGCTCTGTTTTCTCTCTCTTTCTGTCCTTTCCTTTTCTAACATTCTTTCTATCATCTGTAAGTATATCAACATTAATTTATGAATACTTCTATATCACATATTAAAATATTGAATAACTGATCCTAGTCTGCTCACAGAGGAAGTCCACCAGAAGCATAGCAAGTGATGATTCTCTATTGTTAGCTTCTTCATGAGGTCTTTATTTTGGCAGCTATAACTCTTGCTAAATGAATGTGTTTGAGGCAAGGCTGGATGAGGCTTTGAGGAATAGGGTCTAGTGGGAGCTGTCCTGCCTGTGCCAGGGAGGTTGGAACTAGATGATCTTTAAGGTCCCTTCTGACCCAAACCATTCTATGACTCTGAATGTCATTAATATAGTAATACAGCATTACCTACAAGCAGAATAATGTGAGATAACACAAATATTTCAGTAAAGACTAAGAAAACTACCTTTACACATATACATTTGCCAGTTAAATGTGTAATCTCATGAATAATGAGAGTAGGTTTCTTAAATTGTTTTCCTTAAAAATCTGTTAATTAGCAAGAGTTACATTTGATATTTTTTTCTTCTCTGAAACTCGTGAGTTTTTTCATGGCTTTGGCTATTGTCCTTGTAACTTGGTCAATATTTTCCAGGTCAACTTCTTTGCCATTTTTAGACATAACTGTGACACAAGCACATATTTGCACTTTACCAGAAAATTTGTCATTTATTAGAAAATTAACACTCTGGGCCAGCAAATTCCTTAAAAAGTTTGTTATGGCTCCTAGGCACAATTTCTCATGGCCTAGGATTTCTTAATATTGCCTAGATTCTCCATAGTACTTCTTTATCCCATGGGATACAAATGCAAAAGACATAAACTACAGTCTGCATCATGGGCAGGAGTCAAGAGGTTGACCAGCTGGATGCCATTCTGGGGAACTAGGCTCAGGAGCTGGTTTTTGTTGGTTTGTGTATTTGTTTTGTATCTGAGGTTGACTTTCTGCGGAGTTTCATGGAAAGAATGCAGAAGCCTATAAATATTTTAAACTGGCTTGCACTATTTTTTGAGTAAGTCAGAAAATCCTTTAATACCTCAAAATGCAAAGGAAAGGATTTGTGTATCTAAACTAGAGCCTTCAGTAAACTGTCAGCTTCTGTGGGTGTTAAAGTCTTCTAGAGCTGCACCAGTTCCGATGTCCAACTGGAAGATCCGAGTTTACTCCAATCCTGTACTTTGTGACAGTGTTTTAAAAACTATCCATGGGCAGGTTCATGAAAAGAAGTAGAGGGGTGGAGGACAAATGGGTAGGAAATTCCAGAATACCCAACTGGAGTTAGGAGGTAATAAGCTTCTTTCAGGTCATGAAGGGTTTTTTTAGAGGAAATACCAAATACTTTTTTGAAAGACATTTGGCCTTCTAGCCCCAGGAATTGACTGTAGCTCTAGATCACAGAACATAGGCCTATTGGGGAGTTTCCTGTCCTTATGAAATCTCATCAAGTTGGAGTTGCTGGGGAGTATGGAGAAGCAGGGGGGAGATAGGATATAGATTACTGCTGTGGAGGTTAGAAATCAGGAGAGAAAAGATGCAGCCTTTGAAAAAACAGATTTTCTTCATCCTCCTTCTCACAAAATAACTTCATTAAACTTCAACACATATAAATATCCTTTTGGAATGAGTGAGACTGACCTTATTTCATGAGGGCTCTGTTTTCAGTGGCATAAGCCAAACAGAGCTTCGATCAGACTTCTGCCATGCAGCCTGGCCACGATTAGATTCTAGAAGGGAAACTAACAGAGCATTGAATGCAAATGGCAAATTGAGGATCATTGTGAGAAAATCCTAATATTTACTTCTAGAATTTAGTATAACTGTGAGGAATGACTTATTGTTAGGGTGGGATGTTTGCCACCCTGTGCATATGCTGTAGGGACAACACTGCAACAGAATGTGTAGTGAAGGATTACCCTGTGTCACATTAGCCTTCCGTGAACTGAGGAAGGGCTGTTGAGCAAGTAGAAAACTCCACCAGAATGTAAAGTAACTGCTGCTATGTTCCAGTCCCTTAGCAATCCAGTTATTTTTAAAGCCTGATTCCTTCCATGCAGTAAGGTGGCCAGAGCTTTCCTTCATATATACGTGTCTTTTTTCCACAGTCGATGTTCTTCTGCAGTAGCATTTTTAGGTTCTAATGTGTGATCTTTTCTAATTATGTTACATAGAATTATACAAATTCTTAGACTGGAAATTATCTTTGGCTTGCTCCCCAGTTGTCTCTTTAAACAACAGAGATGTGAATTTATATTTGCTAGATGCCTGCAAGAATACTTTTCTAGTGTCCCTCCTCCCTTTGGAATGGAACTGCAGCTCATGACATTTTTGGCTCAGCCTGACTCATGGAGAAGAGTTGCCTCAGGGAAGGCACGTGGCTTTTCTTCTCACCCTCTGGTTGGCTGAGCACAGCACATGTGAGTGAGGGGTCATTGCTCCTCTTCTGAAATAGTTTTCACATCATTTCTCAGGGGGAAAATAGTCATTATTTAGAGCTTCTTGATTTTGTGGAGGAGGAGGAGGAAAAAATTAATTTTCTTCTAACTCTCGTGTGTCTGGCAAGCCAAATTTGTTGGGAACCATTTGAATGTCTTTTATATGATTTGTCTTGAGTAATAACATTCAATTTTATAAGCAGGGAAAATCTGAATGCCAAAAGCACAAGTGCCATGTCAAAACTGAGGTCTAGTCTCCACGAAGAGCCAGTAAATACACAAAGTTCTTCTTATAGACTGGTGTTATTTTCAAGTACTTTTGGGGGTTCTTTTTTAAGGACCAGTATCACCTATGCCTGTGCCATCTCCCATGATGGGGAGCCTGGGATCAGGCACTCTGGAAGGCAGAAGGCAGCCTCCAGTTAACACAGAGGTGGCAAATCCATGCTGGAAAATTTCCTTATGTCTCAGGACACTGGGGAAACATCTGAAAAAAAACATCTATCCAAGCTTGCCATTAATTAGGAGAGACTATGAGAAAGGTAGATGGTGGGGGGAGGGTGGGCAGGATATTACTGTGGCTGAAATAAGTGGAGGGTAGAGGCATTGTGGACAAGCTAACAGCAATGGATGAAGTGCATAATGTCTCCAGTGGTGTTTAAGGCTTTAGGCCAGACTTTTCAATGAGGAAGGAGAAAGTGAGCCCATGCTTCATTCTCACTTAATGTGGGATATTTGGAAGGGAGAAATCTGGACAGTTTTAATTAGTGTTCCCCCCAGGCAGCAAAGTACTTCATTGCTCTAAGCAATGTAAGTGAATGTAAGGGATTAGGTAAACCACGTTAGGAAGTTCTCTTTCCTCATCCCCCAACTACTGGGAACAGCTTCTGTTTTGGTTCACAGAGTTTTGTTTTTTAAGAGGAAATGTATTTCCCTTGGGCCATACCAAGCTTCCCTTGGTAACTATAGAGCTTATGTTGCATCCTGTTTCTACAAACCAATGAAGTCAAAACTTATTCTTTTGTTTGAAAATAAATGGATTTGTTGCAGTGACAAATTCGATTGACACTGATATACTGGACTTTTTAACAAATGTTTTGCAATATCAGACACTTGTTCTTTAAGCAAAAAGAAATGTCAAGCAAAAAGAAAAGGTCTCTCAGTGCCATTTTAAAACTCAGGCACTAAGCTGAGGTCCTACTTTCACATATGGATGTTCATGGGAGTGCTAGAGATAAGTGAGAATCAAAATATTGCAGATGGTCACTTGACAGAAGCCTTTTTATTTACAGTCTTGCCATACTAGCACTTTCAGTAAAGATCATCTGAGTGGGGACTTCTTATCCCTGCTATAAGACAAAGAATAGCCGCAGAGAGTCTCTTCTGTACCCTCATCCATTCACCACTTTAGGGCCACAGTCTAACTGCGGAGATCAGCTGTGGTAAAGGATTGGATCATTTGATGCATTCTGTTCTGAACACTAGGGTTTTTGTGAACTGCAACATAACATCCATTTGATCTTTCTTTCCTTTGTATTAGGGACACTGTGCTCACTTACCATTGAGAAGCCTGTGCCTGAAGATGGGGGCGAGTACAAATGCATAGCTGAGAATGCAGCAGGAAAAGCTGAATGTGCTTGCAAAGTGCTGGTAGAAGGTAAGTACTTCGCTGTATATGGAAAAACTGTTTCTTAGAATTTCCTCCTTCCCCCCTTTATGAACGACATACACAAAAAAGAACTCTGCTCCCTTCCTCTATGAACTTTTTTGTCAATACGTAATTCAGTGTCGACCATAAAGGAGCATGAGCAGAGAGACACTACAGAGCTAAGGGCTCTGGCTCTTTTGTAGAATAATCTATGTTCTCTTGCTGCCTACTGTATTTCTGCAAGGTTTTTAGTGCAGTAAAAGTTGAACCCCGAAAGATTTACTTCTGAGCTGTATGCATTCTTCAAGAACACATAAAAATTTCTTGTGTGAACCTGGATACTAGTCTGCCTTGGGGCTATATATGGCACATTTCTCATTCTAGAACTTTTCAATTCTTTGCATTCACTGATGTTTGGTCATTTGGCTTTTCTAGTGGAAATGAGCAAAAGTAAACAAATTAGCAGCTCAACCACCCTTTTATGCTGTAGTCTTAGAACACGGATAATTTGCTGACTGAGGTATCCCTTTTGAGCCTCAGTGTTGCTGATGCCACTCTACTCTTGCCAAGTAGTCCTGGCCTTGGGCAAAAATTTTGTTATGAGGTTGAGCTCATCGTTGAATACTCTGATACTTTCCATTGTGACTAAAAAGTGCACAGAACTAAACAACAAGCCCAGTAACAGAGACCATGGGTATTAAGCCTTCACAACTGTAGTACAGATACATTATTTGAGGCAGGAGATCTAGAAAAGAAAACTATTATTTGTGTTCCTAATGTAGCATTGCACCAGGTAAGAATGTGATCCTGTAACTCCATTAATAAAGGTCAGTCTTCAAGTAGCTGGGAAAGGAATTAATTATACAGATAATTACAATTAATTATATTGATTCCTGTAATGTCACCTTTTGTGATACTATGGTCATGATGTAGTCTAGCTTAGACATTTGATAAATTGTTGTTAATAGTGATGTAATTTAAAGTAATAAGTTTTACCAGTTCAAGGACTATCAAAAAGGGGCTTTAAGCAAAATCTAGTATCCTGTAACATCTTAACTACCATAGATGCAGTGTTAAGGAATCATATCATCAAGCACTTAGTACACAGTAGTTCTCCAGAGATGCCTCAGCATTTTTTAAATATCTCAGTCACCTGTGTGTTTGTTCCTGTGATTTTTGTCTTCTGATCTCCTTCAGGTAGTTGCATTTCTTCCTGAAGCCTCCCTTAGCCTACTTCTCACTCCCAATTTCCTGCTGGGCAGTGCATGTTCTAGGAGGCTGGAGGTGGACTTTGGCTGGCAAAGTCTTGCTTGTGGGAGGCTCTCAGCTCATGACATATTTGTTGCATGGTGACGTGAAAGGTGCCACCCCAGCTGTCTGGGTCACTCGGGTAGTGGCACCCATGGTGTTAAGTGCTCACATAACAATGGACACCAATTCCTTATGGTGATACTGGCTGCCTCATCTGTCTTTTCCATTCCCTACTGGCATGCTTTTTTGTAGGGCTGAGAAGAGGTTTTTCAGGAATGGCACCACAGCAAACTCCAGTTATTTAAGAGAGACGCCATTTGTTATCTCATGTCTGTGACAGGCAGAGGGAAAGATAGTTATATTTAAAATAGAATTGTGATCTAAAACAATTAAAATTTCTCCCCTCTACTCAGTCTGCTGTCAGCATCACAGATGCTGATTTTTAGACTCAATAAGTAACCATAAATATCATTATATTCCTTTTGGCCCCATGGACTCAAATCACATTGAAGGAATGTTTGACTTCAGTTGTAAAATTAGCTCAGGGCCTGAACTCAGATCTAGCACAGCTTTCTGCTCTTAAGTGTTTGCTAGGAAATTCTGTCTTCCCCTACTTTTTAGGTAGCAGAGAAATGAATTTTCTCACTCTAGCACCTAGAAGTAGGTGACTGAAATATGTGGTTCTGTAATATTTATGTTATATTTTCTCTCACACCTAAATTTCAAACAGCCATCTCATGCACATGTCCTCTGAAAGCTGAATACTTGAAAGCTATACATTGATCCAGGTATTGCTGGGGTCATTATCCAGATTTGGGATCTTTCTTCCAAAGATAAAGGTCAGGATCAAACAACCTACCAAGCGGAGCTTTTTAGGATTTGTATTATAGGACATGCTTGACCTGGAATAAGCTTGCTGAAAGAAGGTTACATCTTCTAGTTATATGTGTGTGTGTGTCCGACGGGATACGTACAGAAGAAAGCTTATCTTGACTCTTAGCTCTCAGTGGAGCCTGCAGCACTAGCAGTTGCTGGATATGAGCTGTGCAATCTGGGAAATAGAGAAATCCATCAAATTTGAGTCCTATGGTGTCCCTTCTGCCATTTGAATTAGGAATGAACCAATGTGTAATAATAATCTTTTTGGAAAGATTTACACATACAGAGGAAATGCTGCTTTTCAAAATTTGTTTGTATAGCTCACATAGACAATAGAATGGAAGAATGACATGGCAAGGGATTCTTTGGGATTAAATGATACTTCAGATATGCCTTTGTTTCCCTCTTCCATTCACTGCCTGAAGCAGCTTTCACAGAATCATAGAACAATTCAGGTTGGAAAAGACCCTTGGGATCATCGAGTCCAACCATTGACCCTACACTACAAGGTCACCCCTAAACCATATCACCCAACACCACATCTAAACGACACTTAAACACATTGTGCACTTTGTGCACATTGTATTTTGTTCTGTTCAGTTAAAATAGACCTATCGGATTAGATGGTGCCTTGTCTAGTTGCTTTCTCACCTTCTTATTGCAGCTGCTTTTGCAGAGAGCTTCTCCCTCTCCACTCCCTTTTCCTTTTAGAATGTGACATTGTCCAGCAAGTCTGTGCAGAAAATCGTTCTTAAAACCCAAAAGGATAGTAATTTCCTCTTACTTTGCAGAAAGATCCAAAACAAACTGATGTAATAGGCAGCTTTTTCGTTATTGATTTTTAAATAGGATTTGTATTTTATTGTTTGTTTGGATTGCAGATGCCTCATCCGCAAAGACCTCAAAGCCTGCTGAGAAGAAGACCAAGAAGCCTAAGACCACACTTCCCCCTGTGCTGCCAACAGAGAGTAAGTGACAGTGATTTTCATTACTTCCTTTTGAGTGGAAACAAAAGAGTGCTTTGGGATTCTGTGGTCATTCCCTTCTGTTTGCAGGCATAATAAGCTTGTGCTGTTTCTTTAACCCTTGCACATAAGTCATGTGAAATGAGTTTCTGCCTTGTAGGGATTAGAAGTAAGTGCTGAAACTGAGTTCAGACCTAGCCCTCTCTATTCTCAGTTTTCCATAATGGTACAATAGGCTTATGAAACAGATTTATTTTTGGCTGGCTTTCAAAGAGGCACAGAAATTCTCAAGTAGTTTGCTTCAAGTCATATTGTGTCCTATGTAGACAATATACTGTTTTACCATTGGTGGCAAAGGTATCTTGACTGAAATGCCCTGAAGCATAATCTGTCCTTTTTTCCGTGACCATGGGGACTAGTTTGGTGAATTTCACATTCTTCATTTTGAGCCTAAATGCTTTACTTGCTTTTAATGCTTTCTGAAATAACAAACCAGCTACAAATTCCCATGTTTGCTACTCTGCATACATACATTTGATTAAGAGGCAATTTTAAATAGTAAAGGCAGCACAATAATGTCATTTTAGAAATTCCTAATAACACTACTACTTTTGAAATTAAATGTCCATGGATACAAATTTCTCTTAAATCGAACACTGGACTTTGAAAGTTGTCTAAGATGTCCGCTGTGTGAGTTTCTAAAACAGATATAAAGACAGAGTTCTAACAGAAACATGAAATATGTTATCCAGCTCGGTCTGAAAAAAACAAACAAAAAAGAAACAATAATCTGATTTTCCATCATGGAACATTTTCAGCTGAAAAAAATCAGTGAAGTTTTTTACTGATTGATGATCACAGGTAATAATTGTGTTTCTGAAATTGTTTGTTGACTTACATAAAGCTATGCTCTGGGCTACAGCTATTACTGAGTTGCTGGCTCAGCATTGTGACTTTCTCTTCAGCCAGCCCCTTGTGGGTGTGGGAAGGGTCACACCAACAAGCTCCACCTCTGTACCTGAGCTTCAGATGCTCTAAATAATAGCAGTTATTTCTTGAAAAACTAGTGAGGGAAGGTCTGAGATTTTTTTTTTTTTAGTTGTTACTGGTGAGATTGATTACTTCTTCTTGTTTTTTTCTAATACCATACAATTCCAATGAATTACCATACAAATCCAATTCTCCACTTGTGATGTATTAAACGTAGGGGAAAAAAAAAATCATTCCAACATCTCCCTTATAAGGACAAGCTGCAGGAGCTGGGTCTCTTTAGCTTGGAGAAGAGGAGGCTGAGGGGTGACCTCATTGATGTTTGTAAATATGTAAAGGGTGAGTGTCAGGAGGATGGAGCCAGGCTCTTCTCAGTGATGTCCAACGACAGGACAAGGGGCAATGAATACAAACTGGATCATAGGAAGTTCCACAAAAACATCAGGAAAAACTTTTTCACTGTGAGGGTGGCAGAGCCCTGGCACAGGCTGCCCAGAGAGGTTGTGGAGTCTCCTTCTCTGGAGACATTCAAAACCCGCCTGGATGTGTTCCTGTGTGGCTGCCCGAGGTGATCCTGCTCTGGCAGGGGGGTTGGACTAGAGGATCTTTCAAGATCCCTTCCAACCCCAAACATTCTGTGATTCTGTGAATTAAGAATAATCATTTTCTTCTTGAACATCAATAGAAAAGAAAGTTCTAATGCGATTTAAAGCTTCACAGGACAGTGTTTTGAATAGTGTTTTCTATGCACGCAAACACATACTTTCCTCTGATGCTCTCAGCAGTGTTATGAGCTGCAGCTCTCCCAAGAGAAGTGTGACTTGGCAACTAAGTCTAAATATGCAGATATATGACCTGATCCAC